CCTCCCACTATTAATGACCCCAGTTCTACCTGAAAAATCCAGCTAGACCAGAGCATGTACACTGGTACAGACAAGAGCTCTCGACACACAGAATCCAGGACAGATAAACCCAATACAAACAGAAGTTTAGAACTTGCTACTTCTGAAAGCATTCTCCATAACCTATGCTGTTTCATTCGCTGTGTGCTCACCTAGACAGGGGCAGAGCGGAAAGCAGGACCCAGGGCTTTGGCTTCTTCCGGGCCGCAAACCCTCTCTGCTCAAACAGAAAAATAGCATACTACTAAAGAATTACCCACAAACCCATCGACTGACAGAGGGCACCCCCCCACGCATCTGAGAAGGGACGCCCGATCAGGGAGGCGAACACAAAGCCAGGCAATCATCCAAAGGTTTTCAGAGAGGATCACAACCCCAACAAACCCACCAAGCCACCAAACAATAACAAAGGGTGCCTCTGCACAACCTGCAGGTGTCATTAAGGAATTACAGGTCTCGAGTGTGATTTTTGCATGATTATGTACTTTTTTTAAATTGAATTTGTTTGGCCGCCATGTGGTCAAACATTTAATGTAAACAAAATGCGTGAGCAAGATGGCAGCTTTAGGAAAGAGCAGCTCAAATGCTTAAAAAAATAAACAGGGTTGATCTTTAGAATCAATACTTGCCTTGAATTCTAAGATAACAAGTAGCACCTCATTAGTGACTAACCTTTGCACCCCTTCCAGAAATTCACCTGTTAAGCTTTCCTTAAACGCCATCATCTGCCATAGACCAAGTTAAATGTAAAAGGGGCAGAGTGCGGCAGGAGGACAGACTTAGTTCTTTCACCTGAACAGCTCTAGGAAGCAAAAAAAAACCCTATTTTATTAAAATTCAATCAAGAGTTTGCTCCTATACTACTGTCATTTAATGGTGGCACAAATAGTTAAGCGCTCGACTACTAGCCACAAGGCTGGTGGATCAACACCCCCACAGTCACCTTCCACAGAAGACAGGGCTGGCTCTCTGCTTCTGAAAGGTCAACATCCTGGAAGGCCACCGTGAGGCAGAAATCAGCTCGACGCAACAATCAGTTTCCCCACCACAAAAGAAGGTCATCTTACTCGGGAAGGTCAACTTTCTAAACTACAAACAGCACTCAAACCACACCACTAAGAATAATAGTGAGTACCATTTGTGGAGTGCCTCCCAACTGGGTCCCACAGCCTGTATCATCTGCTCCTTAAAGAAAGCTGTAGGAATTACCCAGGGTGCCAGGCAGCTAGGAAGTGACAGCGTTTAGACATGAACCCAGGGCATCGGAGACATTTCTACTCACTATGTTGTTGCTGACACAAATAAGCATACACTCAGTACCGCAAAGAACTAGAGCGGACTTTAAGGAAATCAAGTATTAGTTCTGTTGGAAATCGAATAGATTGCCCAATAGGAATCTACACATGTAGAGCAACGCCTAGCTGGTATAGGAAAAACACACACTCACACACACAACCTGCACATTGACATCATTCTTTAGAAACTTTCTGGAAAAATTATTTTTATTAATATTATTATTATTAATCATTTTATTGGGGGCTTACAGTTCTTACAACAATCTGTAATTTAATTGTTATATACCCAACCTTCTGATCAGTTCCCCCTTTCTCCATTTTCCTCCTCTTCCCCTTACCCTCATGGTATCGCTACTCCCACTACTATTCCTGAGGGGTTTATCTGTCCTGGATTCTGTGTGTCAAGAGCTCTTATCTGTACCAGTGTACATGCTCTGGTCTAGCCTCGACTTATAATGTAGAACTGGGGTCATGATAGTGGGTGGGGAGGAAGCATTAAAGAACTAGAGTTGTGATTTTCACTGATGCTATACTGCACCCGGGATGACTCATCCCTTCCTTGTGACCTTTCTGTGAGGGGATGCCCAACTGTCTTCCCCTCGTTCACACTGATATAATTGTTTGTTTTGGATCTTTAGATATCTGATACCTGATCCCATGGACACCTTGTGATCACACAGGTTTGAATGCCTCTTCCATGTGGGCTTTGTTGCTTCTGAGCTAGATGGCTGCTTGTTTACCTTCAAGTCCCTAAGACCCTACATGCTATCTCATTTGATAGCCTGGCACCATATGCTTTCTTCACATTTGCTTATGCACACATTTGTCTTCAGTGATTGTGTCGGGAAGGTGAGTGTCACAGAGTGGCTGGATAATTCTTAACCTTTTCAGGAAATTGACCAGAGCTAGGGATCTTTTCCCCCAGAGATTCACATCCAAATTTTTGCTTATTTAAGGAGGCTCAGATTGCTAAAACCTATCTACCCAGCTCAATTCTGAAAATCTCCGTTTGACTGGGTTAAGAATGTGGTTGAGAAGGTGAAAATCGTACCAACATAGCTTTTGAAAACTGGAAAGCCAGTGCGGTTCTGCACACGCGCACCCTGGTGTGAACTCCTGGCAAATCTACTGCAAATCTACTGCATATAGATGCAGCCATTCACACTTACCGCTTCCCCTTGCAATTCTTGTCATTCAGGCCACCAATCCTGTTTATGGCAGACCAAGCTGTGAGAGCCACGTATGGCAGCGAAGCCGCTTGAGTATGAGTGAGCGATCTGGGCTTATGGGAGACCTGGGTGGGAAAGCAACAATCAAAACTAAGCAATGTCCCGCAAACCTGCCCACAAAAGGAAGCACATTTACCTGCCAGGGAACGCAACTGGCTTCACGGAGAAACCTATATAGCTCAAGGGTCAAGGTTTATTGCCTTCTCTTTTCCAACACTAGCCTGAAGGAATATGCTCCAAATGACCCAACCTCCCTCACATAGGCTCTGCAATGTTTGTGGCCTACACCATGAGATACAGGTTCTGAAGCTACCTCATTCTTTATAAAAAAGAGCACACTCATCATCCCCTTACTACTGACAGCCAACAAATCCAATTAAATCCCCATAGATATTAGCCCTTCCCCACTTTTTTTGAGACCACCTGTTCCCTAACTCCCATTTACCAGGACGCAGTTTTTTTCGGTGGTCTGTAATCTTACGAATACCCCTTTCTCCCTCCCAACCCTCCCTTCTACAGCCAATCTCCTCCGTGTTCAACCCTTTCTCTGTTCAACTCATCACGCCTCCTGTCTTCGATTAGCCTCCTATTTTCAAGGGTGTCCAAAAGAGCTCGAGGCACCCCGCTACTGCTTAGAACTAACCCTTACTCTCCATTTGGGATACGTGGTTTTAACTTCCTAGACTGGGTAACCCAAGAAACAGCACAGGGTCCCTGAAGCTTGCTCCCAAGCCCAGCTCCTCCAGGCAAAGAAACCACGTTGGCAGGCAGCGTTACAGAATGATATTGAATACTTTGGTAATCTTTCAAAAGTTCGTATTCTTTAACTTAAGTCTCTTAAAACTGCCCTAAAGCACGAACAGTATTTGAAAAATAGCCAATTATGTCACCTATATGATGTAAAACATAAAGAGCATATCTACTTATATGTTTAATAGCATTTCAGCACAAAGTTGGTGAGTTACCTCATTCCCACTGACTACAACAAACTCTGAGAAAGTGCCTTGTTTCCACGGAGGAACTGCAGCCCAGACCTGAAACACACACACAACTCCATTAGAAACACAGGTACCTTCTGACCCAAGCAAAGCATAATGCTCCCCCAATACCTACCTCACACAGTGGGGAGGAGGGTAGAGCTAAGTTATTTCCACATCCTCTAGCTTCATTTACTCAGATTTATTCTGGACTTACCAAGCCAAATCATATTGTAAACAGACGTCAACATACCCTGCTGCATTTAATGATTAATTAAGAGTCCAAGTGTGAGTACAGTCTCTTGGGCCTGAATCCAGGCTCACCCATTGATTAGCCATGCAAACCCATACCATCAAGTCCATTCCAACGCAGAGCCACCTGAGGAACAGGAGGCGGGTTTGAACTGTCTACCTTGTGGTTAGCAGCCCCGTGGCTAACCCACCACACCACAGGGCTCCTTATTAGAGCCTCTCTATAGTTCACCTGCCTCCTCTGTAAAACGGACCTAATTTTATTTATTCATAGAGATTTAGTGGGTTATTTAATGGAAAGCAATGAGAACAGTGTTACCAAGACCAAACCAAACCTCTTGCTGTTCCTATTTCTACACATAGTAACATATAAGAAAGAGTAGAACTGGCCCGTAGAGCTGTGAATATTTACTAGAGCCAATGGCCACCTCTTTCTCCTGTGGACAAGCTGGTGGGTTTGAACTGCCTATCTCCAAGTTAACAGAGAGTACCTGCTCATGATGCTTTCTTGGTATGAAAGTTCAAAGTGACAAGTGACAGGTGATTATACCAAACAGTAGCTAGCCCTGGTGGCGTAGTTGGTGCATGCTGGGCTGCTAACCACAAGGTCAGCAGTTTGAATTCACAGTAGAAAGACTAGGCTTTCTACTCCAATAAAGAGTTAAGACGTTTAAAGAGTTAAAGGCTTTCTACTATCAGAGTTGGTCTTGGATATTCACTGCCCTACAGGGTAACTGAGTCAGCATCAACTCAATGGCAGTGGGTATGGTGGAATCCGTGCACAACTCTTTTCGAGATGTTTAAATTACTGAATTCTATGAGATGTGAATTACATGTCAATAAAACTGTTAAAATTTCAAAAACGACTTAATCCTTTAGATAGGGATTGTCATAAAAGGTCTTCCAGGAAAAACAAAAGCCAAAATAAGTCCCAACCCTACACATTTTAAAACCCTATGATTCTCCAGCACCAGAGTGAGAAAGCCCAAATGGAATAAAGCTATTTTGGAATTATTTATGTAAACGATAATAACAAAATCAAGGAAAGGAGGGTTCCAGGCAAATCTCAGGACACTGGTCAGAAAGAGGATAAAGGTCAACGGGATGAAGAGCACACCCTTGGGGAAGCAGCCGAATGCAGCTACCACCCAGAGAAGAGCGGCCGGGGCTCACAGCGCACCTCGTCTCCAGGCTTGAAGTACTTCATGTCCAGGCCACACTCCATCACCACGCCAGAGACATCCCGACCCAGAGTCAGGGGGAATTCCTCTCCTCTCATTTTCATGTGTAAGGGATCACGCTTCATGTTTAAAGCGGTAGCTCCATAGCCACCTAGAAGACACAACATATATGTCCCTATCACAGGATGTCAGACTACCACAGGATTAAAGGCCAGGTACAAGTCTAGGTCCTCATGATGATGCACAGAAAACCTAGTCATATTTAATAACCCACCACACAGAAGAACAGGGAACACTGTCCCTTTTCCAAGAAAATGAGTTAGAAAGGTAAGATCACTTATTTAGTTGGAAAGTTATCATGCTTTATTCAGTTAAAGCAGCCTTGGCAATCGTGGTATAGATGGAGCAGTGCTTCCAAACGTTCTGGTGGGCATGAGGTACAGCTAACAATAGGTTAATAATTCCTCATTGTGTTTTTGGAATTCTAATTTTGAAGCTGTCTTTCAGAACTTTTCATTTTACTTTGAAGCCTGAAGATGAGTCTCTGTTAATTTATTTAGTCACTCATTTTGAAATTTTGTGTTTGGTTTCTGCTAAGTCTGGTGACAAAAGTAATTCTCAAGCTGTCTGAAACAAAACAAAACAGTAAGGCATGGATATAAATAATTTGATATTGTCAGACAGCCATCTATGAATCATGCCCCCTCCCCCACCAAAACCAAAATGATTTTAGAACAATGTCTTTGGAATTAGTACACTGATTCCTAAGTGGAAAACAAACCATTTGGCTGTAAGAGTTCTGATACACCTAATCAGATTAATCACTTTATTATCTCTCTTTTTGTTTTTAAAAATATTTGCTTATCAGTTAAATTTAGCTGAAAACATTTGTCTAATAATTTTCTTTGTCCAAATAAACGGACTCCTCCAATTATAGTACCTTAAGTGGCGTATTACATAGCTTGATGAGATAACATGGCTTTTCCAAATCACAAGAGCACCTGCTCTTCTCTCCTAAGCTTAAACGATTTCTCAAGCCTCTATCATTTAAGGGACCACCCAGATCTGGCCAATCTCACGTACTGTTCCCTGCCCCACACTTTATGCTCTCGAATCACCAAGTCAAGCTCTAAGTCTTCCTTTCCTTCTCTCTCACCCACTGCTGGGCAGAGAGGACGACATTCGAGCTATCAAGGAAGACGAGAAACCAACAATAGGGCCTGAGAAGTCAAAGGAATCTGAAAGCCAAAAGAAAAGGCCTTTCAAAGATGTCAGGAGCTAACGAGGAAGGCAGTTTTGTTTTTGTATGTGTGTGTGTTTTTCAAATAAGATCAAAGGCTGTTGTTAAGTTTAAAACATTTTTTAAAGGGTGGATTCAAGAGGTCATTTCTCACCTTGACATAAGCAGTGCTGTGGAGTGGTCCATTTGAGAAACATAGCAGTGTACATATGCAAACACATTAATCCACAAAAATAGAGGTATTGGCCCATGTACATATATTTATACAGCATTACACTGAGGTAGGGGATGGACTTTGGGCTTCTGCTCTACCCTCCCTCAATACAAGAACACTATGTCCTAATCACTCGGCATTCTGAGATGTTTACCCTCCTGACCCAATCACTGAAGACAAAAAGAGTGCATAAGCAAATATGGTAAAGAGGGTGGATGGTTCCCAGCTATTAACAGATATAGTGTCTGGGGTCTTAAAGGCTTGATGAAGCCGCCATTCAGCAGTGAGGCAACAAGTCCACATGTAAGAAGCACACCGCCGGTGCGATCATGAGGAGTCATAAGAACTGGGTAATAGGCATCAGCAGACACATAACAAACAAAAACATATTGTTGAGAATGAGGAGGGCTGAAGCAGAGATCCAAAGCCCACCTGTAGACAGTGGAACAATCTCCCCACAGAGGGCCCACAGGGAGGGGATGAGTCACTAGGGTGCAGTAAAGCATCGAAAAAACATACTATATTCCTCTGGTTCCTTGAGGCTTCCTTACTCCCCACTACCATGACCCCAGTGCTGTTTCCCAATTCAGACTAGACTGGAACATGTACACAGGTATAGAAAGGGATGGGCTCACGACACACAGACTCCAGGAACAGGAGTGAGAATAGTGATACCACAAGGGTAGGGGAAAGAGGGAGAAAGGAAGGGAGAAAGAGAGAACCGATCACAATGATCGACACATAACCATACAGCTCTCTACAGGGGGAAGAACAGAAAACATGGGGGAAGGGAGACAGCAGTCAGTGTGAGAGATGAAAATAATAACAATGGTGGGAGGTAAGAGGTGGGGGGAGCTGATACCAAGGGCTCAATAGAAAGTAAATGTCTAGAAAAGAATCATGACAACATATGTACAAACATGCCTCATTCAATTGACATATGGACTGTGATAAGAGTTGTATGAGCCCCTAATTAAATGACTTTACAAAAGAGAAGAAAAATGAGAAGGAACTGGAGAACACGAGAAACTCAAATCTAGCACATTGGTTCACTGTAAAAGAGAGTGGAGAACTGAAGCAGTGTTAGAGGAAGCGACCTGGGATGGAGAGTGGACAGTGCAGTGTCATTGCCAGTGTTTGTTTTTAATCCCTGAGAGGGCAGAGATGACAGTCTGCAGAGAAAGGAAGGCTGGTGACACAGGGCAGAGCTGACCGAACAAGGTGAAAGGGGATGGGGCATGTTGATCTGGATGAGAGCCCAGACCAGGGATCCCTGGAGCAGAGGAGAGGAAGAAGGTATGGAGAGAGGCTAACAGAAGCTGTTTTTCTAAGACCAAATCAAGACACATAGGAGAGAGTATCGAGGTTGTCCCAGCCAACCTACAAGTCCCTGAGAGGCGAGGTTGTCCCTGACAATATAAGCTGCTGGTGTTAGGTGCTGCACACCTGTCATCTATCTGGCCAGGTAGCTGTGTACTCTACCAGGGGAAACGAAAGAACATCGAATGGAATGGTCACAAAAGTCATGTGCTTCACGATTTGTGTCTTACCTTCCTCTTCTACCAACGTGTAACCCACTATGCGCCAGAACACCTGAGAGAAGGGTCAGAGAGTTGGACACAGTGCCTTCAGAAGGGTATAGGCCAACATGGAGGAGATATTGAGAAACAATAGTTTCCCATTTTGGGTATTTTTGTTTAGCAAAGGTTACTGTGATTTAATAGCAATACAATTTTGACCTACCCTTGTATGAAAACAAAGCAATCTACAATATTAATATTATTATTATACCCTCCACACATAGTGTGCATGCAAAGAAATTAAAAGTTAACAAAGCTAAAGAAAAAATGTAAAAATTATTCCTGGAATTAAAAACCCTGCTAATTTATGTTTGTAATATTAAGTCAGAATGAAAACGTAAAATGCCAAAAATACAGACTGACAGGCCACTACATCTGTGGGGCACTGAAACAGACAGTAGTTGACAGAGCAGGGAATGAACTTTCAAAGAGTTTTCAGCCAAAGGAGAAGAGAACAATACTGATCATTGGGTGTAAACCTTCTACCTAAAGACATGTCCTGCAAAAACGAAGCTATGTCTAGGCCCAGCCGGAAGGCTTCTTAGAAGCAAGGATGATGAGACTTCGTCTCACGTACTTGGGACAGATTATCAGGAGAGACCAGTCCCTAGAAAAGGAGATCATGTTTGGTAAAGTAGGGAGTCAGAGGAAAAGAGAAAGACCCTCCCAGAGATGGCGTGACACAGTCACAATAGTCAAACATAACAACTGTGGGAATGGCAAAGGCAGTGTTTTGTTCTTGTACGTAGGGTCCCTATGAGTTGAAACCTAATGACAGCAGCAGGCCCAATGTAACACAAATAATTTAAAACACACCCACCTAGTAGTAGCACTTATTACTTTGAATTATGCGAAAACATAGACCTGCATGTCATAAGACAACAATAATAAGTCATTTCAATTCATTTCTAATAGAACTTTCTAACTACATATCCTCCAAGAGTTAAAGTCTCTCCCAGGACCCAAGTTCCTCAAAGGAACGTGTAATAGCTATTCCATCACATTGTCCAGTAGAAAGTGAATGCAAGCCACATTAAATGTGCTAGTAGCGACTCACAAAAGTAAACAGAAACGAGTGGAATTTAATCGTATTTTTCTCCATAAAAGTGTATCTAAAATCCTATCAGTTCAATATGTAATCAATATGAAATTTTTAATGAGGCAATTTATATTCTGTTTTGGGGGGAGAGGGAGACTTAATCTTTGAAGTCGAATACCTTTTAGATTGACTGCACATCATTTCAATTGCTCAACAGTGACAGACCTGACAGACAGTACAGGCCCAAGACTATTCACTAACTAGACAATAGGAGCATTCAAAGTGGACAGTCATCAAAGGGCTTAATCACCAGAAAGGTTATTCAATTTCTCCAATCTGGCAGTTCTCCAAATCCAGTAAGTCCTCAAGTCAGTATGATAAGAGTCTAAGAGGTTCTTTCTTTTCCAACTACAGAACCCCAGTGGCGCTTGTGGTTCAAACTCAGTAGTTGTTCTGCTGGAAAAAGAGTGATAGTCTGCTCCCATAAATATGTACCTTGAAAAACGTAAGGAGCAGTTCTACTCTGGCCTATAGGATCACTCTAAGTCAGAATTGACTCATCGAAATCCAGCAGGTTTTTGGGTTTTCATCTGTGTGGCTTTTCTTCACATACCCCAAACTTAAAACTCACCGCCAGACAGTAGGTTGCGACTCATTGTGACAGGGCAGAAAAGAACTGCCCCAGGCTATAACTCTTTACAAGAGTAGAAAGTCTCATCTTTCTCCTGCAGAGAGGCAGGTGGTTTCAAACTGCTGACCTTGTGGTTAGCACCCCAACATGGAACCCACCAGCCACCAGGTCTCCTCTCTACACACAGTGCTTCGAATAACACAGAGAAACAGGCAGCATGCAGAAGTAAATAAGAAAATTCAGTGTCTTCCTAGGCTAAAGAATAAAGAGACGTGCAGAAGTTAAAACAAGGCCACTTTTCTCTATGTCCTGTTGCTTGTTTTGGAAAATACTGGGTTTTGTTGTTGTGGTTTGCATTACAAGCTCCTTGAAAATAGATCACATGCTGCCAATCATTACAAGTTATCTTTCAGTCATTTTTAACTGTTTAAGTCATTTTTAAAGCTTTATCCTACTGTGATGTTGTAGCATTAGCACAGTTTATTGCCTTTTAAGCCAATATTAAAACTCCGGTTAAATTCTAACACAGAAAATATTAATAGCTATAACTCACATAAACTAATGTTAAGTAATTTTTCAGGTCTTGCAACCTAAATGGTTGACAATTGTTGCCCCAATCTATGACAACATTCTTGAAAAATTAAAAGGGAAAATCCCCAACTTCTCTATAAACTACAGAATTGTACATTGATTCTGTCATTCATTTTAATTTTTCAATTGGCTCTGTACAAGAAAGTGATATATAATTCATCTTACATAGTTTACATATAATTATTATCAAGGTCATCTGTTGAGGAGTAGGCTGCAAGTCTACACATGAACTCTTCAAAACCCAGACTCGCGGATAAATGTATATGGCAGCTCACTTAAAATACGAAGGCCAAGTGACCATTCATCCCCAAAGAAGTGTTTGTAAATTTCTACAGAAAATAAAGGTAGGTGGGTTCTCACAGCACGACGGTTGGTATCTAGTGCCATTTTCTTCCAAAGTAAAAATTGTTCACGGACCATCAGCCTCTTAAGCACTTCGGTGAATTCAACTGCATTGTTAAAGAAATAAGGTACTTTCCAAGGGTTGCCAACATTCTCTAACAGACATGAAGATGACAACATTTCTGAGGGAGCAGAGCAGGGTCAAGGACATGATAAAGCATGCACAATCTGAGCTGATGCAGAAACACAAAGCCACCTCCGCGACCCGTGACTAAGTACGGGGGGAATATAGGCTGCGGCCACAGCTATCGAGGCCCAATTCTTGGTCTCAAAAGGAACCCACTGCCATGGCTTGCCTTCCGACCCTCTCGACCGAATTAGAGAGGTGCTCTGCCTCATAGGGTTTCCAAGCCTGTCAATCTTGACAGATTCGGGCTCAGACGTCTTTCCCCCTCAAAGATTCCAGCTGGCAGCAGACTGAGTTAAACACTGCACCACCGAAGGGGCGGGAGGGGGGCCTCTTTGAAAAGGACAAATGGAAATTATTCAAATTTGTATTTAAAGAGATTATACTACAAACCTGGCCATTCCAATTTTTAGGAAATATTTCCTGTGCACTAAGCAAAGAAGTATCGTTAGGCTGCGATTCATCTCTTAACACTATATCCTTGAGGAAATTCCCTGAAGCACCGAAAGAGAGAACGGAGACTGTGGAAAACTTACTTCTCATGTTAACATCTATGGGGTTTACGGCCGCCGCGTGGACCTTGATAATGACTTCGTTGGGGTAGTTAATGACGGGCAACATCATGTTCTGATTCAACCGAAGCACCTCATTCTTCCCGTACTTGTCGATGACCCACGCGGGCATGACCGTGCCCTTCGGAGAAGTAGTGCTAATCCTCCTCCCCGCCGCGGGCCTCGGCACGGCTGAGCTGCTCCCACCGGGAAGCGCGGCGCGGGCCTTTCGGCCCAGGCCAGCAAGCCTCAGGAGGCCCATCGGCCACAGCGGGCGGGCCGCGCCTCCCAGCCCCTACGCACTTGGACCCAACTTGGACTCCCGAGTTGCGGCGAACTCTGCCACACCGGCCAGCTGAATTCCCCAGGGCGCATTCAAAACTCGGGCTGAGGTGACGGGGCGCCTGGATAGGATGGCGTCTGTGGCATCGCGGTCAGGCGGTCAGCGTCTGAGGTGCTCGGTTTTCTACTTTCCTCTCCGCTTACGCCGCGAGGTAAACTAAGCAAAGAGAGAAAACAGCCTGTACCCCCTCCCTCTGAAGAAAAACAAAACCCTTCCTATCCTGGAGCCCTTGGAGGGACGAGCAGACGCCGCCCGGGATACAGACGACGCGTTTCGGAGAGGCCGAGCGCCCGCCGCCGACGCGTTAGCTCAAAGTCTCCGTGCCGCGGGTCCGGTCGCGTTCCCAGCCGAGGGCGCGTGGCAGAGCTCACCAATCACGTGCGAGGATCATTCGCTCGGGTTCCGACTTGGCCAATCCAAGCACGGGATGCTACCAGGTCCGCTGACGCGCCAAGATGGCTGCGCCCATGTAACACGGGCACGGCGCTGACCTCGCTCTGCTTCCACGTCTCCCGGCCCTGGATGGCGGGTGGAGCGCGCGGACCATGCTGGGCAGGACGCTCCGCGAAGTGAGTGGGGTGGGCTGCTGGGAGCCGGGAGGATGGCTCGGTGGGCGGGCGTCTCCCGGCCGGGCCGCAGGTGAATGAGCGTGCCGCCTACTTCCCCCGGACCGGGGTGCGGGCTCCCGGCGTTTCGATCCGTAGGCTGGACTTCCCCTGCGGCGAAAGGAGTCAGGCCGGGAGCACCGCCGACTTCGGCACCGCGGAGCTGCAGAAGGAAGTGCCCCCCACCCCCACCCCCGGCCTCTGCACTCCTGTGTGCGGAAACTGGGGTGCCCGTCTGGGTGGTTTCACAGGTACCCATTTAGTCCCTCGTCTGCCCCTGACACACCTCTGATGCAGTTCTTGCTAAGAAGTTCGGCGAACGAGTATTTTGCAAAATGCAAACGAGTAATTTTTCTCTGCTTCATTCATTAATAAGCTTCAACTACCGTTAAACTGCCAATGACTCCCTGACCTGTATTTGCACTTGCCGGCCATCATATTTGAAATTCTAGACTATATTTGTGAATGTCTTCCAAATATCCCATAGGCATTTCAGCTCTATCCAAGGCAGATTTCAGCACCTTATCCTCTCAGTATCCATCTTACACACACACCAGCTTGTTGTGAGTTCTTGATATTCACTTGTTAATGGAAAAACTATGATTCCATTTCCCAGCCACATTCACTAGCGACCCTACAGGATCATTTCCCAGCACAGTTTCCGAGGCAGACCTCACCAGCACTGAGCCACTCCCTCCAGGACTCCATAGTAAACCAAGAGCCCCGGTGTCCTTGGAGTAGCTGTCTACTGATAGCAACCATTCTGTATTGTCAATAAGCTGCTTCTTTCTCCCTCCTTCTGTAGCTTTAATTCAGGTCTCCTTACTCTTTGGCCCAGATTTCCCCACCTTTAGAATTTACTATCTATAGGCCAACTGCTATCAGAAACACCTAAGCCACAAAAGAAAAACAAACTTGACAGCTGTTGACTCACAGCCCCTCTGTGTAAGTTTCTGAGACAGCCTCATCGCTCTCCTCCTGTGTGGGTGGGTACTTTCAAGCACCAACCTTGTCATAACCCAAGGCACCACCAGAGCTCCTTAGAGTCATTTAAGGTCCTTGGTAAATTGCCAACTGTTCCCCACACCGCGCCTGCAGAGATCTGTGTAGTAAGGCCCGGAATACATGTATCAATCAGTCACCATGTCTCCGAGTTATCTCCACAAAGGAACTATCCCCTCCTCAACCCTGAGGTTGGCATTTTTGTTGGTAAGTGGCTTTGCGTCAGCTCCAATCTTAAGCAGCCCTTCGTAAAACAGAACGGTACACTGCCTGAGCTTGTGCCATTCTCACCCGCGACCACGTTTGGGGCCCTCGTGGCAGCCACTGTGTCAGTCCATCTCACGAGGGTGTCCCTGTGTGCTGTTGGTGTTACTGCTGAGCCTCTGTTTTACCAAACATTACATTTGTTTCCAGGAACTGGTCTCCTGATCACATTTCCCAAAAATGCAAGCTGAAATCCTACCTTATTAACTTGCAAGGAACACCCTGGCCATACTTCTTCCCAGGCAGATTTGCTTGTTCTTCTAGCAGCCCATGGTACTTGCAATATTCTTTGCCTACACCATAATTCAAATGCATCAGTTCTCTTGCCTCTTTGTTCATTTTCCATCTTTCACATGCATGTGAGGTGGGTTAAAACACCGTGGCTTGGGTCAAGGGCACCTGCGTCCTTAAAGTAATATCTTTGCTCTTTAACATTTTATTGGTCTAGTACAACTTATTTGCCCAATGCAGTACATCATTTGATTTCTTCACTGCTGCTTCCATGAGCATTGATTGTGGATCCAAGTAAAATGAAAGCTTTGACAATTGAAATAT